GGGGAGGAGCAGTCTGTTAGGCCACAGAGGAGGACTTTGCAGCCAGCCCTGAAGATACCTGATAAAACAGGGTCAGATGAAATACTTGAGGACCTCCTCCCCTATCAGTGGACTTGGAAAGGGGCAGGGAGGAGACCAGGGAGGGAGTGTGGGGTTGGGGAGGGAATGAGGGAGCGGGATACAGCTGGGACACAGAGTTAACAAAATGTAACTAAAAAGAAAAAAAAATAAACCAGAAAAAAAAAAAGAGATATTTTTCTCTGGTAGACTCTATGATATCCAGTCTCTTTATTGAGACACACTTGTGGAATTAATACACATAAGCATGAACTGGCCTCATTTTTTGGTCTCTAATGGACAGAATATGGCAAAACTGATAGGTATCCATGTCTAAGATTATGTTCCAACAAGAGTATGGCTTCTATTTTGGGTACTTTCACTGTTATTATTGACTGAAAATTTGACAGGATTTAGACTAAACCCAGGGCATATCTGAGTTAATTGAGGGGGAGAAGACCCACCCACAGTTTGACAACATTGCATTGGCTGGAGTCCTGGACTAAATACAAAGGAGAAGCAGCACTAAGTGGAGAGGACCTAGTGCCCCCTGCTCAGATGTGGCCAACTGGCAGCTCAGTCCCATATGGATCTCTGAGTGAGGGGATCAGGGGCTGCCTCTGTCATGAACTCGGTTGCCTGCTCTCTGATCACTTGCCCCTTGTGATGCAGCTTTGCCAGACTATGGAGGAAGAGGATCCAGGCAGTCCTGATGACACTTAACAAGCTGTGGGCAGATGACAATAGTGGAGACCTCCCCCTTTCAGTGGACTAGAGGAAGGGGATGAGGGAAAGAGGGAGGCAGGGTGGGACTGGGGGAGTTGAAGGAGAGGGCTTCAATTGGGATATATAATGAATGCATTGTGAAGAAAAAAAATATATTTTAAAAAAATCGGCAAAAAGGAGAGAATAAGGTGGTGAGTGGTAGAGTAGGGCATGGGGTGACTTCCCGCAGCCTCCTTTTGTACAGGTACCCACCATAAACAACTTGAGGCTTTCCCATGGCCTAACCAGACTGTGACTACTATATCATATTCTTTAATCCTTAACTTAATTTTACTTAGTCTGTTTGAGTAATAAAAGTTACTTACCAGTGAGAGAAGAATGCCATCTAAACAGAGAATAATGCATTGTAGTAAAATTAGTGCTGAATGATAGCCAATAGCATAGCAATGGAAGAGTTGACTTGGATTATTTATCTTCAGATTGCTCACAGGGTTTGTTGACAGATCTATTTACCTCAGCCCAAGCCTAGGCACATGGCCCAACCTCATTCAGTACTTGCCATCTAAGAAAACACAATGCTACCTGATGGCCAAGAGCTATCCATAAGATAGCAAATAGAGAAAGAGAAACAAGATTTCACTCTTTCATGTTTTAGAAATCCATCTTGAAACTAAGCAAATGTGTTGCATGCCTTTACTTCAACATTCAAGAGGCAGAGGTGGGTGAAGCTCTGAATTCAAGGACAGCCAAGTATACAGAGTGAGTTCCAGGACAATGAGGGCTACACAGAAAAACACTTTCTTGAAATCCCCCTCCCCCCAAAAAAAGAAAAGAGAAATGAAGGAATAAGAAAAGAAAGGAAAGAAGAAAAGAAAGGAACAAATGAACAAAGGGAGGAAGGAGGGAAGAAAGGACAGAAAGAAAGAAATCCAACCTGAAGGCTGAAGAGAGCTTAATGATTTAGAGCACTTGTTGTTCTTCAAGAATGTCTTCTTCTGGCTTCAGTGTTCACATATCCACACAAATGAAGTTCATATATCATGCAACACACACACACACACACACACACACGAAAGTCTGCTTCCCAGACTTCAGCCAACTTGACTGCTTAGAAAAGTTTTTTAATATCCTGAACACACACATAACACTGTATTCAAGATGTATGTTTGTTAAAGCTCCCCAACTAATATAAAATAGAACATGGGGACTGAAAAAACAAAAACAACATCATAAACAAAACACAATTTTGCAGAAATAGCACATGGAAGCCAAACAAATTCTATATAAATTTTCAGCTCTATCATCTTGGAACTTGTGATTCTAGAGACATTTCTGTAGACTTTTATTTCCTAAGATGTAGAGTTTGAAAAACAGTCTTTTCTTGGAGTGACCATGGTAAAGATGATTCACAATGCGAAAGATCTATACGCACGACCAAGTAGTCCATTCCACAGAATCTGTAGAGTATGCTGAATACTCCAGGATGATAAATTTCACTCCTATTTTTCTAATGATCCTATAGTGAAGGAACTAAAAAACTTGTTGAAGTATACATGGTAAATTCAGGCTTCACTATTTCTGTGTGTCTAATTAATACATGAAAAGCAGGGCAAGCCCCGTCACACTTATAGTAAATTATCCACCACTGGGCCAATTTTCACCCTGTTTATAATTTTTTTATGATTTAGACAGGAACTAAACCTTGGTTGACTTAGATGAAGAACAACTACTTTATTTCATTAATTATTTTTCCCTTTAATTTTTTTATTTATTACTATTTATTCACTTTGTATCCCAGCTGTAGACCCCTTCATCTTCCTCTCACAATCCCACCCTCCCTCTCTCTTCTCCTCCCATGCCCCTTCCCCAGTCCACTGATAGGGGAGGTCTTCTTCCCCTTCCATCTGTTCCTAGCCTATCATGTCTCATCAGGACTTTCTGCATTGGAAGAAACTATTTTAAATGAATAAAAGAGTCAGAGAAGAAGAGGGGAAAAGAGAAGGATGGAGGCAAAACAAGGGAAGAAGAGGATGGGGAGAAGAAAATAAGGTAGACAGAGAAGGGAACAATGAGAAAGGAGGGGAAAGATGGGGTGATTACAAAGGAAGCCAACAAAGATTGTACCTGTTAGGATTTCAGTTCCATGTCCTGACACTTTCTTAATCAGGAGCCTCAGAGTCCCACTCTCTAGCATAAGCAGCAGGGTCCCTGAGCCTTCAGCCAACTCTGTGAACAGAAGCAGACCATCTTCGTTCCATGATCGAAACTGGAAACTCACAGACAGGCCATCAATTTGGGGGGTGCCAGGAAGGAGCAAATAACTGCTCCTGGAGTTGACAAATGTGATGGGGACAATTTGTGGTTCTGAGCAGGAAAAAGTGACATTGCCCTGAAAAACAATAAAAAAGCAAACATAAAAGCCATTTTTTTTTATTCTGCAATCTGACAGTTGGCATAAACAACCACCCAGTGCTGACCTTAATTTCAAGATCATTCCACGTTCAGCTTCACAATCTTAAAGGGAAAAATATGTCAGCACTGCTCAGACTGACTCAGAAGACTGCTTCCTGTTTTAAGATCCCAGTGCTATCTCTAAAGGTTGTCTGAGAGTCTATGGAGAGGGGTGAGGAAAAGTCAGCATTGTACAGTGAACCAAAGATAAAAATAATTACATCAGCTCCCTGGAAAAACCTAAATGGTGAGTCACTTATGCACCAAATTCTGGAATAGCATTGACTACAGTACAGCATAGGAAAATACTATTACAAAAATAAATGAACTATGGAAAGACTTATCCTGGCTCCTGAGGAAAAGTGACTTGAAGAGGGAGGTTGGAGGGGGCAAACAGAATGACACTAAAGTAATGTTCGCTACATTTTAAGTTTAGTATTAATATTTGTCCTTACATGGGTAGGAAGTGCAGAAGAAAGCTGAGCCTGGGGACATTAAGTGTGTATAATGTTAGTTGGGGATGTAGCTCAGGTGGCTGAGTGCTTGCCCAGCATACACAAAGCCTCTAATAAATCTCCAGCAGCATATTAAACAGTCATGGTGGTGCACACTTGCAATCTCAGCCCTTAGGAGGCAGAGGCAGGAAGATCAGAAGTTTAGGGTAACCCTTTTCTACTTAATTAGTTTGAGGAAAGTTTAGGCCACATAAGACAAAAAAAAAAAAAAAAAAAAAAAAAAAAAAAAAAAAAAAAAAAAAAAACAGAAAGAACCAGTTTTGACTAAAGTAGAGAAAAGGGTAAGCATAAATGGGTGTGAAATGGAACCTTGCATACCCAAAACCCACAAAATAAGGTCCATATCAGGAAGTTATGGTGAGTTAAAGAATGAATTTATATGCTTAGCCCCACATATCTACATAAATATCTCTATTTCTGTAGGGAGGAATAGAAGAAAGCCTGGACTAATGTTTAAACAGTGCAGAAGGGTTCTTCTGTGAAAGGCAGTTGATGTTTAGATGACAAACCAAACTCTATAACCAAACATGTCTTGGATGCAAACTTCTAGGGGTACAGAGTTTTTAAGGGAAAAAAAAAAACAAACAAGCAGTGATGACATGCTTTGGCATTACATGATTGAGTAAAGGAAATTGACTTTTGAAATGATTGGTCCACTTTAGGTGCCAAGACTATGAACAGTTTTGGCCTGGTCATATGGCTGGTTTCCTAGCAACTGTATAATTAGAGGGCAGGGAAAGAATGCAGTAAGACTCTTTCCCTCAGGGCATTACTAGACATGTCTCCCCAGCTTGTCTTAGTTCAGGTCTTAAACTTTAAAATAATAGCCACCGATTTTTAATCTTTTGGTCTCTCAATGGCAGGAAAGACATAGCATCCTGTGAGGTAGGCATAATCACAGGAACCTGAGACAGCTATTCACATCTAATTCATAGTCAGGAAACAGACAGATGAACACTTTTGTTCAGCTTGCTTTCTCCCTTTTATTATTCCTAAGACCCAGATCATGGTACTATCCGCATTCATAGTGGTTCTTCCCACTTTAGGTATCCCATTCAAGCTAATACTATGCAGGCATGCCACAGAGCATCCTAGATGGATCAGGATCCTGGCAAATGTTAACAGTCTTAACACCTTTTTTTCTATTCTATATTGTTAAAACAAAACCTCTGAAGTAGAATCTAAGGTATGAAACAGGACCCTGAGCTGAAACTGAGTGAAAGCCCCTTTCTGAAGACTAGCTTTCTTGATACAAGAAGGTGCCGTATAAACTTCTAAAGAAAAGCAACCAATAGTCCCATCTAACTATTATGCCTATCAACCACATCAAGGCATTATAACCCTGAGGGTGCAGTAGTGACAGTTACACATTGGTGGTAACCAATACCTTTTTAATTGCACTGAGGACCAGATCAACACAAGGGAAATCATGTCTGGTCCTAGAAACCTAGCCAACTACCTAAGGTTATTGGAGTCATGGATCTTGGAGAAAACTTGAACCACTACTTTACCAAACAAGCACACTATCTAAATACATTCTAAATTTTGTCCTTATATCCACATGTGTAACATAATGTGAAGTCCTAAAGCTACATCAAGGAAACATCTTTTGTAAGAGACAGATACCATTATAGAATGCCACAACAAATTAAAACACAGGCTTGCAGAGAACGGTTCCAACTGATAACATCTTCAATACAACTTCCACACCTAAGGTTCAGTAAACATTAGGAAAGAAGTGTCAGAAATATTGTAAGTGCCAGAGGACCAGGGGTTTAGTATGAGATTATGTCTCATAAAAGTGTGAGAACCTACATCCATAAAGTCACACCAATATGATGGGCCCCCAAAAGAGCCAAACAATAACAATAGCAATAGCCATGCTAATGTGGACAAGGCAAAGCCCAAGAGACATCAACTCTGTACAAAGAATTACAGGCAACTGAAATTTAATGTTCAAAATGAAAGAAAACACTCTTCCCAGGGAGGAATCTATTATTCGTTGTACAATACCAAATGATCAGCCCGTAAAACATAAATATAAGTAATATCATACAGACTGAGCAGGTTGTACTTACATATTTTATCATGTGTGTGTGTCTGTGTGTGTGTTTATGAAAACAACTAATAAAAAGGGGAACATGAATTTAAAAAAGAGATTTTGGAGGGTTTGAATGGAGAACAAGAAAATGGAAATAATGTAGTTATAATCTCAGAAGAAGAAATAATTTTTAAAGAATGAAAATAAAATATCTGAGGTTGATTATTTTATGACAAAAACAGATTTAGATTTATATAGCTTTTAAATTTCAAGGTTGAAAATTCAAAATCAGCTTCACTGAAGTGTTTGGCATCTTTTCAGAACCTATTGACTGGGTCACAACAGAGCAGAAGAACAGAAATGGCTGCACAAGAAAGAAGATAAACACATGAGGCCACCCTTTTTAAGAAAAAGTCTGTTAATTTTTAATTATGTGCTTGCATGCATGTGTGAGTTACGTGTGCATGCCTGTGTGCGTGTATGTACTTGTGCTGCACATGTGAGTGCAGTGCTCATACAGTCCAAAGTGCTGTAGTTACTTGTGTTTTTGAGCTGCTTGATACAAGTGAATGGAAATGAACTTGGGTCCGCAGCAGGAGAAACAGATGTTCCTTTCTGAGTCACAACCTCAGTAGTCTGCCTACCTTTGCTGATAGGAATACCCCTATGACCCTGTGACATGAACCATAGTTGTGGAGACTAGAACTCTCAATATTTCAGAGGGAACTTACTGTGACCATATATAGTACTACCGGGATATTCATTATCTATAGGATTGGGGCCTCTTCCCTAGGATCCTATAAGAAAAGGAAACCTGCTTTGTAAGGTGAAAATAAAGTCTCTTTTGAATCTGCAAGTGTACTATTCCTGAGGTTAGTAAATCTCTTGCCCTGATGGGGAACACAGTATCTTTCTCTCAAGTGTCCCTCTTTTATATACCTTAAAACTAATAAAAATCATATCAACCTTCTAGACAAAGACAACCTGCAGCCTTGGTGGTCTTCATGTATGAAGCCCAAGATAGATATGACTGAGACCCAGCACAAAAGTATAAGCTTACTTAAAACATGGAAATTTTATTTTGTAATTTAATAGAATAGTACTCAGGCAGGTACTCTATCGATGAAAGTGTCATGTTATAGCATCAAAGTCTCAGCCAGGCTTCATGGATCAAAGATGTGCAGATTAAATGTTCTTTCTGATTCCATGGCATATTCAGATAGGACTGGCATTTGAATCAGACAGCAGAGTCAAGAAGGTATCTTTTCCCAGTGTGGTTGAGCACCATCTTATCCATTTAGTGTTCCAAAAGGACACAAATATAACAAAGGGTCATTCACAACTTTAACACATTTTCCTGCTAGATCAGGTGTGTTTCTTCTTATATTTTCTATCAGCGGGAGGTTACCCTATCAGCCCAGCTTGACAGCTTCTATAGCACTCAAACATCAGATTTAGTCATTCGTTGATTTTCTTTATTTGCTTATACCTTCTTAGGTGGTGAAGGGTATCTAAGAAACAACAGATCATGATACTTCCCAGACTCCATAATCTAGTGGACCCACTCTTTATAAGAAACTTCTCAACCTCTCTCCCTTTGGCTACTAAACTATTTAAACAATGAACTCCAAAACACTGAAACTCCTCCAGGAGTCACAGCCTGGGAGACTGAAGCCCCACTTTAGCCAGTGTGAGAGCTTGTCTCTCTGAAAGAGGTTTTGCAATATTATGACAACTTTTCTGGCCACCCTGCCAGAGAGACTGGAGCTCACATAATGATGATGGGCAGGACCGCTTAGCTATGAATAATGATTGTCCTGTTTTTATATCTAAACTTCTTATTAAGATCCCAAAAGTGGAGTGCTGGTGTATGATTTTAATCCCAGCAGTTGGGAGATAGAGCAGGCAGATCTCTGTGAATAAGGGAATCCTGATCTACAGAGTGAGTACTTGGACAGCCATACCTATACAAAGAAGCTTTGTCTCAACACCCTAGTCACAAAGTTTTGTGTAGACAGATTTGAGGAGCACATTAGACTTCTTTATTCCTCTTGCCAACATGATTTCATTGCATATGTCTCCTTTCTCTACATTGAACTACAACTACTGTGTTTAGTTGGCCATTTGAGGAAAGGTAGTTGACCAACCTTGTTATAGCTGTCATAGCCTAGGCTCTGACTCTTGCAAGTGTGTGTGTATGTGTATGTGTGTGTCTGTGTATGTATGTCCTGGTTCTTTCTGTGGAGCTAGCTGACTAGTATAAATAGCAATGGGGAGAAATGAATAATAAGCTTACTTTCAAGACCTTTGCAGGCACACTTGGGTGAGAACAGAAGGCTGGCTCCAGGAATACTTTACCTACACAATGAATAAACTTCAAGC